AAGGTGCCACACATAGTACTTTTCCACCCCTCTCGTGCTTAAATCTCAAAGAGCTTTTCCACTGTGTGAAGTAATGTGACTTTTAAGGTAGCATGTACTGGGCTTCACGTCCTTGGGCTGATGGTGCACCAGCCAGGAGCCTCCTTACTTCTCTGTGGTTGTGGACTCAGGGGACCGACTGCTGCCCTCCTGGTGACAGGACTGTGGGACTCACCCCCAGCCCCCCTGGCTCTCTTCTGTGCACGTGAGAAGGCGGAGACTTGGGCAATGGAGAGTCAGTTGAGCATGTAGCCCTGCTGAGGACTGGCCAGGGGTCATCGAGACGTGAGCTACACAGGATTTCCAGGCCCTCAGAAGCATTTCACACGTGCGATTGCCTCAGTCAAGGCCCTTGGTAGAAGACCAAAGCGACCAGTTGTGTTGCTGGCATGGGGCACTGGGTGCCGTCACAACAATGCTGCCACTAATGCCCCAGACCTCAGACTCTCTGCAGTCACTGTCAGAGCTACCAATGCTGTTCCCGGTCCCCTTAACTTTCAGGTGGGTGTCACTGCCGAGTCTGTAACTGCAACAGAAATTGCCCTGATGATGTGGGCATCCCCGAACACTGGGGAGAGCTTCGGTCAGTGCGCTGCCCTCCCACCTGCGGTAGATGTCCGCTTAACTAAGGAAGAACGGGAAATCATCCAGAGGCTGCAGCTGGTCAATCCGAAAATTCACAGGGTGACTGATGTTGATCTTGAAAACTTTTGTTAAATTTCTTTTACTAAACACTTCTTTTAATAAAATTTTTAATTTTTTAAAAGTAAAAGTTATAAGAAAGGTGCAGTACTCCAATATTCTCTTCACATAGTTATGCCAATTATTAGCATTTTGCCACATTTGTTTAATTGCTATCTCTCTAAATACACAAATGCACTTTTTTATGATGAGCCATTTGAGAGTAAGTTGCAGGTATCTTGATGCTGTGCTTTCTAATACTTCAGGATCGATCTCCTGAGAACAAGGACATAGACCACAACATAATTAAATTTAGGGACCTGGACACTGAACTAATCTTACGTGCCCAGCTCAGTAATGTTCTTTACGATCGTTTTGGTCCAGGAGCCAGTCCAAGACGATGTGTTGCGTTTTATTCATATGCAGCTCCTTTAATACGAAGCAGGTCCTCACCCTTTTTGTGTTCCTTGATATTGAGATTTCTTGAAAAGCACAAGCTCATTGTTTTTGTGGACTTTTTCTCAGTTTAAGTCAGTCTGATGCCTTCTCATGACCCAAGCTCGTTATGCATATTGGGTGGGAATACTGTCCGAGTAACCTTATATCCTTGTCCAGGCCCCATGTGGGGAGCGTGTGGTATCAGCTTCTCTCGTTATTGACATGCTGATCACCTGGTCAAGGTGGTGCCCCCAGGTTTTGCCACTGTAGAGCTACTCTTTTTCACTTCGTAATTAATAGGGAACCTGTGGGGAAATACTTCTAAACTTGAAAATATTTTGCCTTCAGCAAACCTTCATCCAGTAGTCCCAACGCATCCACTGATGATCTTGCCTGAATTAGTTGTTACTATGATAGGTGCCACGTGCCGATTTTCAAACTTCTGTATTCACTAGTTGACAGTCTCCTTTAAGGATGAGTTTTCCCTTCTCCATTATTTATTTTTTCATTGATTTATTTAATATCAGTATAATATCCACTCATGGATTCTTAATAACTTTTAATGGGATCTTAACAACTTACCTACTTTTGGAATCTGTCTCTTAGATAAATCACTGCTCCATTTTGTGGATGGGTCAACCTAATGGCACCTCTCTCATGAAGTACACTTAAGCATTTAATCATGGCCCCCGGATCTACAAAGGCAGACACAAAATAGAAAACATCTTTTCATGGGGACTGTTGGGGCGAACACGAAGGTGGCTGAAGTGTTTTGAGTAGCTGTGGCAAAATGTGGTGTTCTGGGAAAACAGAAAGGAATGGGGCCCTTTAAACAAAGGAAGGCAAGGGTCTTGCGTACGGACTGACGAGCAAGAGACAGTCAGGAAGACTGGCACAATCGCTGGCTTGGAGACCGCACGCAAACACCGGGGGAGGGGACTTGTCAGAGCAAGGTGGGGTGGGGAAGGGCAGGGAGAGAACCAATGATGGAACGGAATGGACGTGCCCAGCAGGTGGGGCGGGGGTGCAGAAGAACAGGGGAGGCCATGGGAGTAAGGCAGCAACGTGTGTCCATTGTTAACTGATTTTGAGTGGGAAGACTGAGGAGCTGGGAATGAGTCTCACAAAATACCTGAGGGAGATGTTAACAGTTTCATTTTGTTTATAGGAAAACTAAGTCACAAGGAATTTACATCAATTTTTCCTAATGCCACAAAGCTACTAAGTGACAAAGCCAAGATTTAAATACGAATCTGATTTCAGAGCCCACACTGCCACAAGGAAGAAAAACATCTTTAGCAGAAGAAAGGTAGAAATAGGGCTCTCCATATAAGGACAGGTAGGCTACAATATGCCAATCACAGCACTTAAATAAGCCGGGCCCACACGACGCCTATTATCAGCCACGCACTAGGCCCAGGGCACTTAAGAAATACTGCCTCCACTTCAAAATTCCTGCTCCTGCATGACTCAGTGCCCCCACCCCCACCTTTCTTAAAAACCCAGCTTTACTGGTATATATTTTTCAGATACCATTTTACATGTATGAGCCAATGAGTTTTGGTAAATGTATACAATCATTTAACCACCACCACGATCATAATACAGAACTTCTTATCACCCCAGAAATGTCCCTGTGCAGCCCCTTTGCAACTGATGGTCTGCAGCCCCTGGCCTGCTTTCTGTCACAACACTCTTGCCTCTTCTGGGATTTCATATAAGTGGAATAATACAATATGATATATAGTCTTTTGTGTCTGGCTTTTTCACTTAGCGTAATGCTTTTAAAGTTCGTCCACATTGTTGTATTAGCAGTTCAGTCCTTTATATTGCCAAGTAGTGTTCCATCATGTGGACGTACCACAGCCTGTTTACCCACTCATCAGTTCAAGGACATGTGGATCGTCTCAGATTTGGGGTGATTGTAAATAATGCTGCTATAAACATTCCCATCAGGTGGATATATATTTTCATTTCTCTTGGATAAATACCTAAGAGTATAAGTGTGTGTTAAGTGTTTTTAGGAAACTGCCAAACTATTTTCCAAAGTGTCTGTATCATTTTATATTCCAACAAAGTCTGGGTTCCAGTTGTTCCACTTCTACACCAAATCAGTATTTTCAGTCCTTCCTGTTTGTCTTCCTAATGACTAGGTAGTATTGTCTCATTACTTTGAATTTGCATTTCCCTAGTGTCTAATACTGTTGAGCATCTTTTTATATACTTATTTGCCAGCTGTATACTTTCTTGTTGAAGTATCTGGTTACACTTTCTTTTTTTTGCGTGTAAAGTTTTACAAATTTTTACACATTTTTATTGGATTACATTAGTAAGTTATAAGAATCCTTTATCAGATATGTTTTGCAAATATTTTCTCTCAGTCTGTAGCTTGTCCTTTGATAGTCTTTTGAAGGATAAAAGTTTTTAATTTTGATAAAGTCCAATTTATTCATTTTTTTAGTGTTTCATGCTTTTGTTGTCCTAAGAAATCTACAAGGTTAAAAAGATTTTCCCCTATATTTTCTTCTACATGTTATTTTAAGTCTTACATTTAAGTCTATGGTCTATTTAGACTTAATTTCGGTGTATGGTGTGAGGTAAAGGTTCATGTTTTTGCATATAAATATCCAATGGTCCCAGCACCATTTGTTGAAAGGCTACCCTCTCCTCCAGCGAATTACCTTGTTAAAAAGTAAGTTGACCATGTATCTGTGGATCTATTTCTAGATTGTCTTTTCTGTTCAAGTGACCTACAAACATCTGAACAGCTCTCACCACTTTCTGCATTAATTTTTAACACAAAAATGGCTAATTCTAGGGCTAGCACAGAGAACATATAAGACAAGATGAGCCTGGAACATCTTCTAATGTCAGATAATAAGAAAGCACTAAAAAAAAAAAAAAATGATGGGGGTATGTCAAGGAACACAGAGCTAACTGAAAGAACTCCCAGTGGCCAAAGCTGTAACAATTTGAGCAATAAAATAAATAATGTTGTATAGGATTATAACCCAAAGAATAAATATCCATGAGTTCATACTGATGTAAATACAGTTGAATAAATAAGTGAGGGGGGAAGACAGAAATCTCCCATAGAGAATTCCCAATAATTTATGCAGATTCTCCACCCTCAGGCAGGTAGAGCATAACTCCCTACCCCTTGGGTGTGGACCACACGTAGTGACTTGCCTCCAAGGAGGGCAGTGTGAGAAGAGGGGTGAGAGTGACTTTACAGTGGAGAAACATGGCAAGACTACCTTAGCCAAGTGACTGAGAACATCAGTGATAAGTCATGACGATAGGACGCACCCTTTGCTACGATGTGATGAGAGTGACATTTCACCTCTGTGGTCTTCCTCCCCAAAACCATAACCACAGTCTAACTCTGAGAAATGCAGACAAATCCCAGTGAAGGTGCATTCTCCAAAATACCTGACCAGTTTTCAAAACTATCAAGGTCATAAAAAAACGAAAGGAACACCTAAGAAACTAACACAGCCTACAGGAGTCTAAGGAGACATGACAAGTAAGTGTAATATGCAATGCTGGGTGAGGTCTTAGACCAGAAGGACATCATCGGCGAAACTAGTGAAACCCAAACACAGTGTGGAGTCCAGTTCACAATACTTCACCAGTATTTCCTTGGTCGTGTCGCTTTACCGCAGTAACGTGTTGACGGAACTGGGTATAGGGCATACGAAGACTCTCCCGTCATAGCCTCATAACTTTTCTGTGAATCTAAAACTGTTCTAAAACAAAACAGTACTTAAATATATTAAAAACACAAGTTTGGGGAAAAGAGGACTACACGCTTACCTCCACAACTGTACTTTTAATTACAGGGTGCTGGTGACAGTTTTGTGGGAGCTCTGGCCTTCTACCTGGCGTACTACCCCGGTCTGTCCATGGAGGAAATGCTCCGGAGGTCCAACTTCATCGCGGCGGTCAGCGTGCAGGCTGCAGGAACCCAGTCGTCTTACCCACACAGAAAAGACCTGCCACTGCGCTTGTTTTGATTGCTGGGAACTCTGAAACAAATATACCTGGAAATAAAACATACTTGGGAATGGACACTCTTAACTAGCAGCTTACTATAAAAGGTCCTCTTCCTTCTTTGCAAATACTATGTTCATTTACTAAGTCATCCTCCAGTTTACTTTTTTTTTTTAATTTACAATGATTAATTTCTTTGCTTTTCATGCAAGAGCTAACCAGAAGGAAGGATTCCATGACCTGGACCTGTACAAAGATTACCATCACTCAAGAACCTGCAAACTCTTGCATTTGTACTACTGCAAGAGTACTCTTGCAGTACTCATGCCAACAGGTCATGAGTACTGTGTGTACACCACACAGCCGAGGCTGTGGACAAGTGTCTGGAGTCAGAGCAGAGAATGTTGCACAAGGGGATGGCGACACAGGAGTTGGACTGCTCAAGCAGTTCCTGAGAGGGGCAGCTGATACTCAGCTTTGGCTTAGTGGTTTCAAAGCCTCTGATTTTGCAAGAGAAGCCAGAAGTTTTGGATGTTTATTGGACTCTGTTTCAGAGTTTAACTGTCAGCAGCTCATCTTTTAAAAATGTAGAAACCACCTGGGACCACATTCAGCCCATGTGCTGAGTAGACAAGTCATTGGTTAAGCCAGACTTTTTTTTTTTTTTAAGGCAATTCATGCATGTCACAGACACTTTACATTGTACGTAGCTAATAGGATCAGGTGAAACATTTTTCTTGTAACCCAACGCCATTATGTATAGTTTCTATCTAAACATAGCCAAGATCTCACCTATTATTGCTTTGAACCAGAGCTTTAACAGAAGATGCCATAAAACAGCTGACTGACTATAATGCCATGGGCCTCTAAGGCGCAACAACTGTCTACACCTAATTCCTTTTCCAGAGAGCTGTTCTTGCATCTCCTCAGAAGACACAGACGGGGCCACGGGGAGGGGACACCTGTTATTTTGAAACAGTATTGGTTTCTTAATGCTGGTGGTCATGCTGGACACTCTCCCTCTCCCACAAATGCTTTAAATGGGGTAGGGTGTGAGCCAGCAGAGCTCAAGAAATGAGCTGTTCCTTCTTACCTTCAGCCAGAAACTTGACAAGATGAAAACTGAGCAATTTTGAAAATCTGTGGGAAACAACAGTTTGAGGGAGAAAGTATATATCAGGGTAGGGCAGGAGTCCTTATCAAACATTAGGGATTATCAGTGGAATTTTCAAGCTGGCTAGCTGTGCAGTAACATCCAGCCCCAGGGCCCTCATTATAGCTTTGTGGAAAAAACACTGTAGTGCCTCTTACTAAAGAAAAAAAATTTAAGAGACAAAGGAGTCAAAGGTTGTCCTAGAAAACCCTGGATACTGCTTTCATGACCTGAGTTTGACAACATGGACCAATGGCATTTTCCCTAATTATACAAACAAATCACAGAAGTTCTCACGGTCCCTTTGGTGTTAGAGGGCTGAGGCTGGCTCCCTTCTTATCACTCCTGCTCACCTTTGCCATCTGTTATTACATGGGAGTTGTTTTCGAGAACACTCTGGACTGTGGCTCTGTCTTTTCTGTGCAATACAAGGAGGAATTGCCTGGAAACTCTTGCACAAGTCCCATTGTGAAAATCTTCTTTCATGATGTGAAACAATGGTTATTTTTTAGTAATGTAGTTGTGTTTTTCATTTCAAATAGTGGGGGAAAACATCACTAAGAGACAATAGCACAGGCTATTTTAATATTTTTTTTATTAAGGGCCATAAAAATACCCAGAAAGATAAATAAATGTGATACAGTGATATATGTCCTAATATGAAGAACTCTCTTTCACCGCATTGTTCTCCTTCACAATGGCCTTCAAATCACAGGAGGCAGTGGTTCCGTGTCATTTCCTCTCCTTTCATTACATGCTGCAGAAGTTCTGAATCAGGATCCCACCCTCAGTCTTCTCATTTATAAATCAAATTCATTTTCAATCCATTGTTTAGAGGGAGCGTATTTTTTTCTGTTCCACAAAGAGGACTTTTGTTTTCACTACAGAAGGAGAAAACAGGGTTATGGCAGAAAACTAGGAGTTATCATCACCATTCTCTAACAAAAATAACATCTTCAACCATGAGCCCTCTCCCTGCTCTTATTTCACTTTCCTTTGACAGGAGGATGGAGTGGCCTTGCAAACCCAGTTCCTCAATCCCAGAGGCCAAAGACGACTAGAGAAAATGGTGAGGAAAAAAGGAAGGTCCAGCCAAGCAGCGGCACCCTTGGTACCCTACAAGGTCACATTTCAACCACTATGAAATATTCAAATTAAAAAATAAAATTATGGGCAAAAGATAGAAAACACTTGATGTAACTTCACCCAGTTAACACCCACTCTCGGAGGAGGTACGCAAGGCCAGACTGGAGCTGGGCTCTGGAAAAAGAGCAGTGAGAACTCAGCAGACCACGGAAGAAAAGGCAGCCTGGCTGAGGGAGTAAAATACACGTTAAGTCTTGTGCTTTCCACAGATGGTTTCAAATACCCAAAAAAGGATTTTCTAGTCTGGTAATAGAATTAACACAATAACCACAATCACATTATTATAAATAGAAGAGACTTAGTTCTCCGAAACAAAACCCAAACAAAAGTGGTAACTGGCCAGATGAAAGATGCTAGGCAGTAAGGTTTTCCTAGTTCCTATCTAATGCCCTGTAGTACTCCACTAACTGCATATCTATCTATCTATCTATCTATCTATCTCTCTCTCTCTCTCTCTCTCTCTCACACACACACACACACACACCTCTCTTATTCTTCTTTGCCAAAAACAGTGCACCTAGGAAGACCTAGAACTCAAACAACGATGACATAACAACTCACTTGTCCCTACCATACAAAGATATTTTAGCTTTGTTTTTTTCTTCTTCTTCTATAATTAACATGGACACTCTGTATAGGAGATTCCCAAACTGTCTATAATTAAGAATTAGCTAGGGAGCCTACTGAAATAAATTCCTGCTTCCTGCCCCTACCCCTATGCTAATTCTGGTTCAGTAGATGCACAGTAGGACTGAAAGTCTGTATTTTTAAAATCCTCATGATTCTAATGGGCATTTGAATTTAAGAACCATTAACTAGACAATAGAATTTTATCTGTAATATCAATAAAAATAAAATATACATATTATATTTTATTGTAATGAAAATAAAATATACATATTATAATAAAAATAAAATATACATAGGGGTATTTTTAATATACTTCACATCATCTAATATTAAATATAAGTAGGACTGATGTTCCTTCAAAGGCCGAAGAGGACTACAAAGCATTATGAAATTATAGTAAAAAAACAAATCGTTTCCTATCAGACAGTATTATTCATTGTAAGAAATATTTCCCAATGTTTTTCTACACAGAGCTAAAAAGACAGATAAAAGAAGGAATCCATCTTACTGATAATCAATCAGGAGATTGTGTGACTGTGAACAGGATGAACTGATGAGGATAGGTGAAGCAAGGCTTTATTTATGAAAATTTTAAATTCACTGCATTCATTCCCTTAATTCAAAGAATAAATACTTAAGTCCACAGAGTCAGGCAGCGTGGAGTTCACAGGAGAGTAAGGAGGGTCCTTGGGCCTCTGATGTAGAGGAATGGCAGCCAGGGGCAGGAAAGGCAGCAAAAGGAGGGAATGGCAGCCAGAGGCGGGAATGGCAGCCAGAGGCGGGAATGGCAGCCAGAGGCGGGAAAAACAGCAGGGCTTCAAGGCCTTCAATGCTACGCCAACCACAGGGGAAGGCCCTGATTAAGAAAAAAGGAAAACTAGGAAGATTAATGCGGCTCCAAGACACAGAAACAGGAGGCCTGGAGTCAGAAGGCTGGGTTCAGACCTCAGCCCCACCATTTCTCTGCTGTGAGTCCCTGAGCAAACTTCTCAAAACCCCCTCCCTCAGTTTCTCTCCCTGTGGGAGGGTAACTCCCACTGTCTCCCCCGGTTGCTGCCAGGTACACAGTGAACACTCACTACATGCTGGTCAAGCTGAAATGACACCCTGCTATCTACACCCAAAAACATAAATTAATTTTGTCAAAGCATTTGCTGCTTAATACATAAAAGAATGAATCTGTCAAGTTCTTTTCCCTGCATCTAACCAAAATCTATTCTGCTTCAATTAGAGTCTGTATTGTCCTGTTTAGTCATCCACGGCATTAAAACTGACAAGTTTTCCTTTTCTTTATGATAAGCCTTCATATATTTAACAGAGTTTAATAAGCTTATGCCTCAGCCTTTAATCCTGCTCAGAAACTCGCATCTAGTTCTAGACAAGGAAGAGTTGCGTGGAAGGACATCGGCTGGTTCCAGCCACACAGCACACTCTGAAATGCTTGAGTGAGTGAGAATTTTTCTGTCTCCTTACCTGACTGCCTTCCTAAAGCAGACTAACAAAACATTTCCCTTAAACCAACCGTCTACTTACTGCAGTAAAATACGCTGGGAGAATTGCCAAGGTATTTGGTACCCTAAGCAATGGGCAGGCCCCAAGGCACATATCAGCACGCAAGCCTGCAGGGTATTCACTAAGTATTTAGTAGATGGGCAGAAAGCCAAGCAGTCTGATGTCCCAGAACATTCTCTTCTTCTGGAAAGACAAAGTGTGCTGTCAAGGCTCAGACCGACCACTCCTTATCACAAAGGTCCTAATCAGCTGTTTAAAATTTATATATGGATCTTTCTCCCACTTTCCACTTACGGTCAGAACTACTTATGATTGTACCCTTCCCCAACCTCAAAACTTACAATCAATCCAACAGTAAGTCCTTAACCAGAGTCCCCTGGATATCCATGGGGGCCAAGGGGACAGTGGCTCTAGGAACCTCGTCCCACACCCAGATACCAAAATACATGGATGCTCGAGTCCCTCACATAAATGGGGCAGTGTCTGCATATACCTGCACACATCCGCATTACTTTAAGTCATCTCTAGATTACTTATAACACCTAATATATGTAAATGCTATGCAAATAGTTGCTATATTGTGTTGTTTAGGGAATGAAAGGGGAAGTCAGTACATGTTCACTACAAACACAACCAT